TATATATATATATATAAGTTTTGTCATGTTAGTTGACCATATCAGAATCGCACTAGACACAATTTTAATTAGACATTATTCACCTCTTCTTTTTTGGACCAAGTTTTCTCAGCACTTTCACAAGCTTGAATAACCTGCTAGGATGGTCTTACAGGTGTCCGGAACTATTGATTTTGGAGTTCTACGTGGCCTTACAAATGCACTGATAGCTGCAAAGAAGCCAGATGAGGTTGGTTGGTCAATATGCTGTTTCCTCTTTTTCAATTATTTCATTGCCTGCACTACCAGACAGGAAATGATTCTCAGTTTCTTTGTCCCAGTTAACCACATTTTTGACAGCTTGAGAATTTGTCAGATCTGATAAAAATGTGAAGGTGTCTTCTTTGTTGGAACTGAAGAGAAAAGAGTATCCATATTTACCATCATAACCACTGTTCATAAGTAAAAAAGTGAGTCCTAGAAGTATGAACAATTATGGACAAGTGAATATTATGCACTGAGGTTGAGTGAACACTGTAAAAATGTGTTGCGCTCATTGGTGTTCAAGATACTATGTGAAACTGGATATGTAAACTGCCTAAGATTTTAGCCTTTCGCCAAGGGTATGATATTTATGAATGTTTTCTTCTCAAACTCCTGCCATGTTACATGGACCCTTCATTTGTCATGATGCACCTTTGTTAAAATTGGATATGACGTATATATTCGGTGCTCCAAATGGATCCTTCAAAATATACGACAAAATAAATGTATCTGTGCAGGATTCATGTCTATGCATGAATGCATGTAACATGTGTCGAAATTCATATACGTCTTGATTCATCACTTGAATAATGAAATCTTATAAAGCTTTCTACAATATGCCGTACGCTATTCTCTATTTTAATTATAGAATATTTACTTATCTTATTAGCATAGGGATCAATTACCTACCCTATTATACATAGTCTAAGACTTCGATGTAATGAGCTAAGTTGCTTGGACTTGAGTGCGGGTGTCCAATATGGGTGCGGATCTAGAGGTTGAATCCTTCATCGATTATGTTTGCTGCTATAATAACATAATTAAATCTGAATTCCTATCATTTTCATGTCAATATGTGGACTTGATATGACTGTTACATTTTTAGGCTGTTCAAATGCTTTTGGCATCTCGCAAACGTCTAAATGAAGAAAAAACTATCGGTAGCAGTGATGGAACCAAGAAGAGTGCAGTGAAATCAAAGTCAGACGTTGACCCAATTCAAGTAAGCTTTGATATCATAGCATGTCAAATCTGCTAGTCCCTTAGTCTTAATTTGTTTGGCACAATTATTATTTGGGGAGTAAACAAATTCTCAAACATTTATTAAATATTTCTTACTTTGAATTTCTAAACATGTAAATTTATCTAAAATATAAGTTCTCTTTGAAACTTAGATGAGTTGCCACCTGCACTCTGAACCCCGGAGGAAATAGTTGTTAGGTTTTATCATGTCTCCACTAACTCATCTGGTAGCATGTAAAACTTTCTTCATCTATAAAAAGATTACCACATGAATCCAAATAATACACATTGGCGCACCACTATCACGGCTGTCCGATACATTGGAGCAGATGTTAGAGAATGAAACCAACAGTAGAGATCAATAAAAATAAAAATCTAGTTAATAATTTGAGGAAATGACAATGGAGAAGAAGTTCCTAGCGTTAGATGACTAGCACTACCAGAATATCATGTTCAAAGCTGTTAACAATTTCTACAGTTCTTTCACTTAGTTCAACTGTAAAGCTGTTCAAACGTGTTAGGTACTGTTGGTTAATATGAGCGAATACTGCAGAGTGCACATTTAATGAGTATTAACTTCTTGCCACAAGATATACAAAGTCCGGTGCAGATTTAGGCCCAAATTATGGTGCACGTGAACCCATGATCTTTCTGCCAAACTAGGTATTTTTGTACATAATTCCTAGAATTGATCAAATATTATTTGCTGCCCCTTATGCTCCAAAGTGGTTCAATAGTACACTTGGTTGAATGTTGAGTTATTTATCCAAAAGAAGAGGGATCAATTCCTACTAAATAATTTTTTTGTTCTTCTTTCTATACTGGTGCACCCATGTTCTATAAATCCTTGATCCGCCTTTGTACAAAGTTGTTTCGTCTTTTCCTCTATGCATAGCACAGGCAAGAGGTTGATAGGATCTTATCTGGAACCCTTACCAATCACGCTCTCTTATGTCATCTCGTTTTGTAAGTGCCAAATGTAATTTTGAAAATCCTATTCAAGAAAATGAGGCAATTAAGTAGTCATTGACAATTTGGAACTTTTCTCTTGTTGCTAACTTCTGTACAACTCATTATCCTCCAAAGCATTATGAGCTAGTCTTTTAATGCAAAATTGTGTTTTCTGTTTTCACAAAACTAGTCTTTATATTTAATTTGGCCTACTATGCAAGTGAAATAAACAAGTAAACAACCACTTTCCTTAGTGGCGAGCCACTTTTGAGCGAACTGAACTCTTGGACTAGCTGAAAGGGAAGGGGGAAATTGTACAAAGTATCTTTCCCTCATTTAACTATTTAAGGCACCAGTCTCAAAGGCAAGGAATGTTGCACTCTTGTGCTTGAACGAATGCACTCATTGCTTGTGGTTATGTTGAATTTTTTTTCTTCTCGTTTACAGGTTGACCTGCTTCTTGGAAAATCATACTCAGAATGGGGTCGTGTCAGCGATGCTGTGTCTGTATATAATCAACTCATTTCTACCTATCCTGATGACTTTAGGGGTTACTTAGCAAAGGTTTTTTCCATCTGGTCCTTATATATTTTACCGCGATGGTTATTTCCATATTCTTTCACTTAAAGTTTGCGCGATAAGTGGATTACACATTTGGGTGATCCGAAAATTGTGTTTTGTGCAATTGTTATTGACACAACAACAACAACCCAGTAAAATCCCACAAGTGGGGTATGGGGAGGGTAGAATGTACGTAGACCTTATCCCTACCCCTGAGGGATAGAGAGACTGTTTCCGAGAGACTCTCAGCTCAAGAAGACGAAAAACGACAATAGAATCTGTGACAACAAAAATCAGAGTGATAATATTAGCATCGTATGAAACAGAAAATGGATAGAAAAGCAATAACAACAACCAGTAATAGAGCCACCGTACTATGAAAAAAAATGGAAAAATAGTGTGGACACAAACTTACACCACTAATAACCAGTGTTTTTAAGAGCGAGAAGCGCAAAAAAGCGACAAGGGCTCGCCTCGCTTCAAAAGCGAAGCGCACGCTTTATTAAAGTGAAGCGCAATTCTTAAAAAACATAATGTAAACCTTGCAAAGACACAATATAAAATTATAAATAATCAAAAAGTTCAATTTAAAAACTTAAAAGTAGGTACTATGTACCACCAAATCCTCCACAAACCATAGGACAAGCAAAATCAAAGCTACTAAATTACTAGAATCAACATCTTATTCTTCTACTCTTCTTGTTCTTCTTCAAGATTGTCAAAATCTTGAATTCCTCTATTATCTTCATATTGCTCGTCATCTTCTTCTTCCCCCTCCTCTTCCTCTTCATGATCACTTTCATCTTCANCAATGGTTGATGACTCATTTGATTTTTTTGCTCCTTCTTCTTCTCAACAAAATTCTTTATTTCATCCCTCACCTCCGGTGGACATTTCGGACAACTTGTGACGTTTCTATCGCCACCAATAAGATGGAATTTAAAGCGATAAATTTCACCCGTTGTAATCTTGTTACAAAACTTGCATACAACATTTGTATTCTTCTCATTAACTCTATCGCCATATCGCCAAGCCGGTCTTTATCTTTCGATCTTTGAGACATTTTGAAATCCCTATTAAGATATAAGAAAATACATAATCAAATAAACTGAAAATACATATAATATATATAATAATTAATTTTATAAACCGAAATACACATTAAAAACATCAAATAAACTAAATATAACATATATAATTTTCTAAAATGAAATACATATAAAATTAATCAAATAAACTGAAAATATAACATATATATAATAATTAATTTTATATACTGAAATATACATTAAAAAAATCAAATAAACTGAAAAATATAACATATATAAATAATAATTAATTTTATATACTGAAATATACATTAAAAAAATTAAATAAACTGAAAATATAACATATATAAATAATAATTAATTTTATAAACTAAAATACATATTAAAATTAATAAATAAGAAGAATAAAAGGGGGGAAAAACAGAATCTGGACGGGTTAGAGATAAAAGGAAGAAGAAGAAGACGCTGAAGTCTGAACATTCAACAGTGTGCAAACTGGACTGTCAGAGATAAACGGAGAAGAAGAAGGAAGAAAGAAGGAAAAAGAAAGAAAAAAAAAGCAGAATCTAGACGGGAACAAGAAGAAGAAAGAAAGAAGAAAGAAAAAAAAGAGAAGAAGAAAGGCGAAGAAGAAAATTACCTGGACTAGTCAGCAATGTCGATGAAGTTGAACCCTAGCTTTGGTCGACGTCGATCGAAGAAGAAAGAAGAAGAAATGGTCAGTTTTTGTCGATTTAGGGTCTGTTTTGTATAATAAAAAAACAGACCCAAAGTTTTTTTTTTTTAAAAAGGGCCCTCTGCGCTTTTTTAACAGAAGCGATCGCTTCATCGCTTTCCTCGCTTCGTCGCTTCCTCCATTGAAGCGTGCGCTTCCCTCGGTCGAGTCGCCTCAGGCAGCTAGAAGCGACACTGGGTCGCGTCGCGTCGCTTCGCACTTAAAGCGACGAAGCGATCGCTTTTCTAAACAATGCTAATAACCCAAAGACAACACCCTAACAGGCTAGCTCCACCCCCGATACGAAGGAAGAAAAGCGCTCGACTCCCTCCTAACCATCCACCCTAATGCTCGTTCTCCACACCTTCCTATCTAGAGTCGGGTCCTCGAAAATCTGAAGTCGTGCCATGTCCTGCCTGATCACCTCACCCCAAAACTTCTTAGGTCGCCTTCTACCTCTTCTCATATCCGTCAAAGCTAACCGCTCACACCTCCTAACCGGGGCATCTTGGTTTCTCCTCCGCACGTGCCCGAACCATCTAAGTCTCGCTTCCCGCATCTTGTCGTCTATGGGAGCCACGTCCACCTTCTCCCGAATATCTTCATTCCTAATCTTATACAGCCTAGTGTGCCCACACATCTATCTCAGCATGCTCATCTCTGCTACTTTCACCTTCTGAATATGAGAATTTTTGAGTGGCCAACACTTAGCCCCATATAACATGGTCGGTCTAACTACCGCTCGATAAAACTTGCCCTTAAGTTTCGGTGGCACCTTCTTGTCACACAGGGCTCCAGAAGCTAACCTCCATTTCATCCACCCCACCCCAATACGATGCGTGACATCCTCATCAATCTCCCCGCTCCCCTGGATAATTGACCCAAGGTACTTGAAACTTCCTCTCTTGGAGATGACTTGTGAGTCAAGCCTCACGTCCAAATCAGCTTCCCCCGTCCATTGCTGAACTTGCACTCCAGATATTCTGTCTTAGTCCTACTCAACTTGAAACCCTTAGACTCAAGAGACTGTCTCCAAACCTCCAGCCTCTCGTTAACGTCGCCTCGCGTCTCATCAATCAATCAGAGCTATATCATCAGCGAACAACATATACCAAGGCACCTCCCCTTGAATATGGTGTGTGAGTGCATCCATCACTAGAGCAAATAAGAACGGGCTGAGCGCAGATCCTTGGTGCAACCCCATAACAACCGGGAAATGCTCTGAGTCACCACCCACAGTCCTAACCCGAGTGTTAGCTCCATCATACATGTTCTTTATCACCCCTAATGTAAGCTACTGGTACACCTTTCACCTCCGGGCATCTCCAAAGCACCTCCCTGGGAACCTTGTCATATGCTTTCTCAATGTCAATAAACACCATGTGCAAGTCCTTCCTATCCTTGTACTGTTCCACCAACCTCCTGATAAAGTGGATAGCCTCCGTAGTCGAACGACCCGGCATGAACCCGAATTGGTGGTCAGAAATAGACATCGCCCTCCTCAACCTTCCTTCCACCACCCTCTCCCAAACTTTCATAGTATGATTGTTATTGACACACTTTAGTAATATTGTGTAATTGACGTTAAGTTTAATTAAAAGAAATACTAGAGTTCCTAATCTGCAAAGCTTATTTTAATGTGGAGATAGTAGAGATAAGATGCAAAGGACAGTGTGAAGCGTAGCATTTAAGGAATAAATTGCTAGTTTTCAGCAAATTTCAAATTAGTGTAAAGGAATAGTAATCGATAAATAGCATAATATCTTACAGCATGAAAATGTTTCATAATGACGTGATAATTATTTTTAAAATTTTTGTGATATATTTATAGGTTTAAGATATTGATCATCTCGATTTGTGCAGGGTATTATTTTGAAAGAGAACGGAAATGTTGGTGATGCTGAGAGAATGTTTATACAAGTGAGTATATGAATAGCTATATGAATAGTCTCAGACACCCTTCCCATAAGCTGACACCAAGATAAACGCTTCCTTCCATCTTCGTCTTTTTAAGAGACGATGATCAACGTGCTATGCTTCTCCTTTGGCATGAGGTCCTTGGCTTGAGATTATTAGGTAGTTAAAGCCAACTGGGGCCTTGTGTTAACTCTCCCTTTCCCTTGCAATTATTTTCTATAATTTCTATGAACAAAATACTAAGTTATTATTGGTCATTAGTTATGGTACAATTATTACTGTCCCAGATATGACAAATGGTTTACCTTTCTTATTGGGAAGCATTCTTGTTTTGCCTTCTCATAGGCAACATAAGGATGCGCTCTTTACTCTAATAAAACTTGACATTGATGAAACTTTCTTTTCATATTTAAATACCCCAGATAACTTGAAGGCAAAATAATGAATTGTAGGTAGAGGAGTCCTACTTCTCTCTAGAGTCTAAAAATGTGAAAGAGTAGCTGATGGGAAAGAACCCAGATTCAGAGTTCTGGAGAATGGAGATCATATACTGAAAAGAAAGGAGTTCCTCAAGATTTGTCTGATTGCCAGATTTGAGCAGATAGATTCTGCTTGAACTACTTTTTCTTTTATACCTTTGCTTTTAACAAATAACAAGGAGTACATGAAAATAAGTATTCTTCATTTTGCTCATTTTTTATAAGCTTGATTAGACAATCTTTTGAGTCACATAAACTGCTACTGGGGTAGTAATATAGGTCATGATAGTTAATAGTCAAAATATTAAAAAAATATTGAGAAATGGTGATTTAAAATTTTTCTTTGATTCTCCAAATAGTAATAGTGACACATAAAAATGGAATAGAGGAACTATCTTTTTAAATTGTGCTTGGGCCTGTGGTCTGCACAGGCTTCCTCTCCACTAGTAGTTTAATATGTTTGAGTACTGCTGCTTTGTTGCACTCCGATAATCCTATCCAACTTTTGCCTCAGCTTTCTCAAGCTTGAGTCCACTTCCCATGAAACTTTTCAGCACTTACTCTCTAGGTAGTTTACAGACTGGGAATAGATGCTTGTATGCCAAAAGGAACAGAATAATTATTTTCAGTATTTTGAAGTATACCGGCATAGAATACCTCTCTTGATGTGGAACTACAAATTTTTGGCTGGCAGTAGCAGCCCTGTCAAGCTCAAGAATAAAAGGTAATGAATATGGTTACTGAAAAACATGGATATGCTTCTTCTTTTTTTGGTTAGTCCGTTTATATTACTAGGACTAGGAGGGTGTACAGCATACATTGATTGTCAAAACTAGCAAAACTATGAGGAAATGGGATCTGACCCCCAGAAGGGTCGTTACAAAAAGGGGAGTTTAAAGGGATACTACTTCTACTAATCTACTATTACAACTACTAGTAGTTACTACATATCTAAGATAAGTTACTCCTGACTGATCAGCTTGTAGCATATCTGAAACAAAAGGCGATGGAGCATAAAAAAAAGTTGATTGTGTCTGAATACTCCATGCTACATCCATGTTTAGCCAGTCGGTCTGCCATCCCATTCTGCTCCCTGAATGTATGAGTGATGGATTATCCAGCTACCTGATCAAGAACCTGCAATCATTAATAAGATTAGCTTTGTGCTAGGCATAGGCCTTGTAGTAAAGCATGCAGCTCAGTTTGGACGCTAAGGTGAATATACAGTCTTATATTTGAGCAGAATGACTGGCTTGTATCTTGGGAGGGTGAATTATGGAATCTCTGGTAAGGATAAACTTGCATAGTTAGCTTGCAAAGGGACTAACTATGTAATCAGGAAAAATACATGTCGTTAGGATCTTGTTGCCATCTCTGAAAACCATAAAAGGGCATCCCGGTGCACTAAGCTCCCGCTATGCGCGGGGGCCAGGGAAGGGCCGGACCATAAGGGTCTATTGTACGCAGTCTTACCCTGCATTTCTGTTCTGCAAGAGGCTGTTTCCACGGCTCGAACCCATGACCTCCTGGTCACATGGCAACAACTTTACCAGTTACGCCAAGGCTCCCCTTCCCATCTCTGAAAACCATATGCTTCGTATTTTGGCTTATCCATGACCGGTCTTTGCTTTGTATTAGTTTAGCTATGCTCTTTTTCCCATACACAATTTAGTCATTGACAAGACATTTCTAGGTTCCTGAACAGCAGTGTCATGATAGGTCCTCTATGTTTCTACCTATGTTGCTCGAATGCTCCAAAATGTGTCTGCACCTGCGTGGGACCTTCAAAAATGCTGCAAGCTATTTGATCATTCTGTGATATCGGCATGCTTGCCTGATTGGTTTTAATGACAGAATGAAAACTTGTTAAATTTTATCTCTTAATCCAAATTTATGCACCTGCAATTTGCTTTTGAAAAATTTAAGGATTTCATGTTAACACTTAGATTATCATTCATCTTCTAACATGGGGGATGATGTGACAGGCAAGATTCTTTGCACCAGAGAATGCGAAGGCGCTTGTTGATAAGTATTCAAAGTGATTACCGTTGAATTGACCTCTGATATCCTGGCTGTTGGACTATTTGAGATGGCTCGAACAGTAGCTTGAATTGTCCAACACCAGAGAAAGGTTAGTAGGCCAAGAATTTGTGAATTGTGAGATTCTTCGGCAACTGAGAAGTAGTAACTGTATGGCAGTTTTCGCATCTGCTTCAGTTCTAATTGCTGGGTACGCTACTGGAATTGTATATTCAAGATGTACTACTTGTGTACACATAGGACATTTCTGTTTGAATAATGTGGACGATGGTCGAAAAGCGCTGTTTTGACATTCTGTGTACACTGAGGTTGGGACTACCTCTTTTCCATTTCTTCTTATTATTACTGTGTTGGTTTTTTTTTTAAAATGAAATACGCGAGGTCAGCACTCAGCAGCACCTTAGATGATACGTTCACGATATTGACGCAGTACTAACTGGGCTAATTTGGTGTCCACCAGCCAAAATCCTGCGGGGATCCAATGAAGGAAACAGAGCCATCTACCCAATCAGATTGAATTAAGGGAAAGCAATAATAGAAAGCATTACCTGTTTGGCTCGGCATGCCCGTATCATCGATCAAGAATAAGCTGGTCAATGACTAGTGTGCAGTATGGTTAACCTATAAGCCTCGACGTTATCTGGGCGTGGACAGATAACTATTCATAATTTCCTTTAACTACTTTATTATACATATTCTACTATTCTGTTTCAATTGCAGAGCCATTTGGGAACTGCCATTGGTAGCTTGAAACCAAAATAATGCAATTTAATTCTTTTATTGAGCGCTATCTGATGATTTTGGGAATGGATAGTTGATGTGATCGGATCATATCCATAATTTGACGAAATATATACTCTCTTAGCACGCATTTATGTGGATTAAAGTACGTGATTGCTGTGTGCCTCATTAACAACCAAGGAGTTGGACTTTGTGCTCTTCCTCGCATCTTGCCCTCCTCAATGCCTTACCCTTTCCCTATAGCCTAATTGTGGCTCGCTGTATTCGCATCTGCAATCGTAGTTAACTCGTTAGAGATTATTTCTCGTCAGAAATTGCAGTTTTACTGAGTCAACGAAAGTATTGGGTTCTCCAAATAAGTGCGTTGTTTTAGTTCATTTACTAGTTATGTGGGAGACCTAAAGTGTAATGAGGGATCGTTTGTGCAATAATTTATAATGTTGGTAGTTATGCAGCTGAACATCATGTAGAGATTGTCAAGTGGTAATAATAATACAGTGAACATTATGTAGGGTACACTTATTTTAAAAAAATTGTCTTTACATACTTATATTTATGTATTGTTAATACTTGTAATCATATTTTACACGGGCTTCTCTTTAGGGAATCGGATTTGCAAATACCATGAAGCGATGAACTCCCTTTATCCAAAGCCTAGATATCCTGTTGTGATGCAAGGAAGTACTATCCCTAGTCGTCCTTTGTTTCCCAAAAAACGGTAGCAAAATCTCCTTTCTCTACACGTATAATGGTGTATTTATGAGTTATACGTAGTATGTAGGAGGAGGAAAAGCTAATAGGCTAATTAGTACCCCATATGACTAGACCCGACCCAATAGCCTTTCCAACAATGTAATACATTGATTTTTACATAAATTATGGTGGTATTATTATTAAGCTTATTGCGAACCAAATACTGCATGATTGATGGGTGGATTTAATTTTTTCTTATATAGCAAGTGAATTATATGTGAAACTTTATGATGGAATTATTTTGCTAATGTGGCCACTATTCAAAGACCCGAAGGGCCTCGTGATGTAATGGTGGCAAAAGTTGAGCCTGGATGCCGGGAAAGTGAAATAAACAAAATGAAAGAAGAAAGCAAAAGAGCGGTTTGTCTATGACGTCAATCTCTCTCCCTCTCAAATTAAATTTGGAAGTTTCTATTATGCCCCAAAACTAGAATAGGATGTCAATCTGTCTCCCTCTTAGTAAGATGAATCCTGGTGCTAATTTCCTGCTTCTAATATGAATGGGTCGGGCCTGTTAACTGATGAAATTAGTATGAATAACTTGAGAGAACAGACAAAGAAGAAAAGAAATGCTCCGAGCTTGCACGATGTAGTGATGCTTTATTAAACAAATTAAAGAAAACATGTTTGATTGGCAAGAAATCTACAACATGCATGAGACGTAACTTGAGATGAATTAAGATGGTGGAGGAATAACACTTATTGGACTAAACACTCTTTCGCTTTCTCTTCTTCTGTAGTAAAATAGATGAATTGCCATGCATGGGCCGGCAAAGGAAAAAATGAATAGGAAAAAGCAGTACAATGATGATCATTAGCTATAGATCGATCGTTAATTGCATGCGCAATATAATATTGCATGGAATTACGTACGCTAGGCGGTCAACTGCACAATTGAGGAGGCATGATTCCCTGGTGGTGTTGGTGATTGTCTGGAGAGCAGCAGCCAACGTTGTGAATGATATTATTATCATCGCCGACGTTATTAATGGTGGATAAATCAGAAGAATGATGACGCTGCTGTAGTTGGAAAAAGGCATCATGATCATGAGCTGGTGCTGGTTGTTGTTGTCTCTTGTTGTTAGAGTTCATGTTTTTCAAAATCTTCTCGAAGACGGGGACTTCACAAGGAATCTTGAGGAGTCCCTGTTGTTGGAAACCAAACTCTTCTTCGGCTTCTCTTAAGAGGATTTGAAATGATGGGTGGCCCAAGTAGTCCATTGGGATGACGAATCTCTTGACCTCTTCTTTGTCGTCCTCCTTGCCAACGGATACTGCAAGGCACCCTTTGGGGACTGCTGCATCGGAGCTATTAATGCCGCATCCCTCTGCAGGTGATCTGTCCTTTTCCGAGAATGAAAGGGTTTTCTTGAGGAACTTATTGATGCTTTTGGTGCTGCTGCTGTTGTTTATACTAGTACTACTGAGGAGGTTGTTATGGAGGTGGGTGGAGGAGGGGGAGGCAGCTGCTATCTTCTTCCATTTCTTGAGGAGCTGCTGAAGCCTAACTATTTGTCTGATCTTATTAGAAGAGCTGCCTGCGGGGACAGCTTTGTTTGATGGATCCATAGCTTAATTTGCTAGCTGGATGATCAGGTAAAACACATACTACTATATATAGGAGGTGGAGGAGCAAGCCTAGTCATGTATTAATCAATTACAATTAATTATTGGGTGAATTATTCTACTAGCTAGCCCCTATAATGCGGATGACCTGTTGCCTATAGGTACGGTACCTTCATCATTATTAGCAACCAATCCCCCATTAAGTAATTAACGTATAAATTAATTAATTAATTAAAAGAGTCTCTCGATCGGTCTTTGGTGCCTAACCACCTTGTTTTTAGTTATTTTCAAATATAGGGTTGGTTACTAGTTAGAGAACCCAGCTACGGATATATAGGATACTCTCTTCCGTACAAGTTACATTACACCTCTTCTCCTTTTCACTTTTGTCCTATCCCCATTAATCAAGTGATCAGGAGAGTTATTATTATATAGAGAATGAAGGATATTAATTAGTATTTAATAGCGTAAATTCTAGAGTTGCATCTTAACTGTCACATCCTTCAATTCATCTCAGCTCCAATGCTTTTGTTACGCTGGCTTTCCACGTTCTAATTGTTTCAACTATACGAAACCAATACTGCTGCTGTATTCTTATTAATATTACAAGTCCACTTGCTAATTAAGTAACTGGACACTCTTAAGCCTTGGTGAAAATTAAAATAAACAAAACACAATTTGCTAGTGGACTGGCCACTCTTAATGAAAAATTAAAAGGCTTATGACCTATGTGGCATCATAATTTCGTTTGGCATGTGATTAGCCCCTATTATTCGCTTGAACTGTTTCCGGCTTCATTTCTTATTGAATTACCTGACTCTTTCTTTTTCTAATTCATTATAATATATGGGTTCCCTTTTACTTGATTCTCCATATTCTTCTAAACTTCCTGAGAAGTCTAGCAACGTAGTTTGAAGTCGGAGTCATCAAGATTAGTATTCCATAGGTCAAGAATATTTTGAAATATGGGTTTTAGGGAACCGACTTTTTCCCAATTACCAAAGTTAGTATTTTTTAACTGAAATAATCGTTTATTTGTGAAGAAAATCATTCGGAGCAATCATTATTAGGCATGATTCGACAAATGATTAATGTGCAATGTATATGTAATATACTCAAATATTTTAAGTCAGCTAGACATATTTTGACAATGCTATGTGGTCATAAAACTAATTAAAATCATTCAAAAAGATTTATTTTTTCCTTGAGACAAGATTTTTATTTGCAAATGTGAAAATACGTTTAGTAAACCTTATAATTACGTAGATTGATACTATTCAGGTCTATCTGAAATATTTGTTAAGGAGGCGAAAATATTTATTAGCAGTAATTAATAGTGGTCAAAGAATCCATTGCAGAGGCTGGATTTGTGCAATCTCATCATAGATATTGATGTACACATACATGATAAAAAGTAAGGCAAATCCAGGAAGGAAGGCGGTATTAATGCAGGAAGTTATGTGTAATCGTGCATAAATCAAGAATTGGAAGAAAGGGCAGAAAGCGCGCAGGGCCTCATTAATAAATGATTGGTTTGGGTTAGGCACATGATAATCCTTTACAAAGTCAATGACAGCGGAATAATGATATAGCTAATGGAGATGAACGTGCAGCAGATTAATACGCGTAATCATTAACTGCATACTGGGATGCGCGCTCTTCCAAGTTGACGTAAATCCGGAAATAACGTGATTCATTCTTGGGGAATGTAACTACACATTATTATTGTTACTTCTTCTCAGTTCTCAGTTCTCAGTTCTCAGTTCTCATCACTCTCCACCGGCCATGTGCCCAGCTTCATTTAGCTAGCCCTGCTGGTCTCAGCGGCTACTTCCTCCCACCCCAAACCAGCCATGCTCACCTTCAACGTAACACTATTTTAATCAGTAAATGCAATGGCGGGTACATTTTTGTACTGCCATGTTACGCATCTGTCTAAATACATAGACCATGGCCTCCACTTTGCCTGACCTCAACATTTTTTATTCCAACCCCATATTTACTAGGGTGAAGAAACAGGAAGAGAAGTAACTATGAATGCAACAAGAGAATCAATGAGATTTCACACAAACTCTAACATAGATCCCCTTTAGTTACACAGGAACTTCCTATACCATCCTCAGATATTTGATCACCCATCAAAATAAGTTCAACAAGATTTCTTTTGTTGGTTAACATGCTTTATTTTAAAGGTAAACACCTATTTATTAAAATCAAAATTATTTTAAAATATTATTTTCTATAGCTACCTTATATATTTTATAACAAAATAAGTATTTATGGTATACTACCACTGAAGCATGAAATACGATATTTATGTGTTTTTCTCTCTCTTTCTTTCAATTAACACACGATTCTCTCTCAAATTTTTTTTTTTCTAGGTCGAATCATAGATACACGAAAGAGAAACAAATCATGAAAGAAAGCCTAAAAATCTCAAAATCAAAAATATAAAGTAAATCTATAATCAAAAAAAGGAAGCGAAGATACCTTGGGCGACAGAGAGATTGAAAAGAAAGAGGGATTCTTAGCGCGGTAAGTAAGAGATATAAGAGGAAGAAGCGGTCGAATTGGAAGCGTTGTAAATTGAAATGGAAGAGGTAGTTGTCACGACCCAAATACCTAACCATCGTGATGGTGCCGATCGTGGAACTAGGCAACCCGACATTCTCAATATGCTTTCAATATATAACAGAAGTGAGCTAAAGCAATTAAACTACCGGAAGGTTTACATAATAACGGGGTAA